TAAAGTCCTATGAAAAATCATTGTGTAATAAAATGCCTCCTATATATATATATCAATGTGACAATACACAATCTTAACACCACCACCACTACTACTATTCACCATTGATCATCACCATCAGTCAACCATGATTACAGTACCACACTCGGATTTTATCATTACCAACACCGACATACTATTCCACCGTCGGTATCATAGACTCACTTCACTATCAATCAGAACAATCAACGTCATTGCCATCATGTATCTTAATATTCAGCCAGGATCAGTGCAACACTGCCTTCATCACAACTAAACTCAAATCACCCTATTTATTTTTCACCCTACCACACTGAGTGGTCGTCACACCCCAACCAGCCACTACCACAATGAGTGGTCGTCACACCCCAATTAAACTATACCGGATTGCACAGAATCTACATATGCATAAATAACAACACTTGGCCACCATACTAAGGACACTATGTTACCACCTCTCTCAACCACCATCACCACAATTCCTAGCCAACTATCTCCAAATTAACTTTCATCATCAACATTTACCAGACATCATCGTAAGATGTAGTTTCATTATCATTACAATGTAAATACTTGCTCCCAGAATCTGAGAAATACCAGGATAGGGTGTTTGGTTGGGTATTGTTTACTTTAAAAAATTCAAAGGTGATCCTCTAGGTACTAGAGTATAATAATACTAGGGATCTTTTGATTGCACGGTGACAGTGGAACGTAATGATGTCACTAGAAGTCAACTGAGCATACGAGAACGTTAAGTTCTCCTCCTCGCAATCTGGCCAAGCCTGGGTATGCAGAGGATGTAGGACCCCCGGTAGGACGGTCATGCATGAATGATTCCGTTCTAGCGTCGTGTCGTCGAACAAATTAACAGCTCCCGGCTTGTCAGTGTATGACTGTTTGTGCTATGAATTTGTTGTAATATGAAATAAAATTGAATGATTGAATGAATGACATGGACTTATAAAAGAACCTTTATATCATACTGTTACTATCCCATTTACCAGCAAACTGTTTAAAAGGGCATTTAGGCGGGTTGGTGAACCAGGTTTTGCCAGAATCTTATCTCAATAATCCAATTAAACATCAAAGAAGAATACCTCTACTTAAGAGTCATTATCACAGCAGGCATTGCTGTTTCTCAATAAATTACCAGTATAGTATTTAAAAACCAGGCTGGAAAATTTTAAAAACCTTTTGTTCAAAAATATTTGGCATTTTTATTACCTTAGCTATAATTTCAGATAAAAAACATAATAGACATGGTTTTGAATTTTAAAAATCAATGACTTATGTTAGAAGTTACAACATGGTGTTTGATTTATTTGTGCTAGTCTTCTTATGAACTATTCACAACTAATGAGCTTGTTAATCTTGTTACAAAATTTCCTGAAGCAGTAATTAATAGAGATAAGAGATCAGCAAAACCTGGTTCAAAAATTGAAAATTTGGTAAATGGTGAAGTTTCCTCATGATTCAATATTTCTGTTATTTATTTTGCAGGTACCGAATGATGTTGTATCAACGCATAACACGCTTCATATAGTTTTTCGTAGCGATGATACTATACAGCGTAAGGGCTTCTCAGCAGAATATGAGATCGTAACGTAAAGAACAAGATCCCAATCAATTGTTATTGTTGTCACTAATTGTTTTAAACTTATTTTATATTCCTTTATGGAAAATGCAATTATAATCCTGACACCCTGGATTCTTAAAATCAAGTAGATGGATGAACATGATCTGAGAATAAGAAGTCTTGGAGGAAAGAGGCCATAGAAAAAATAAGTTATAGTAAAGAATATAATTATTATTTTCATGAGGACAATCTTAATGCAGAAGCTAACCTTTTATTCTCAAAATATGACACGAGGTCAAAAGTTACTCCAAACAGTCAGCATTTTTCAGTCTTTATACTACAAACTATTTTCCTAGAGAAATATTTATCTTACCTTAATCAATTTGCAAGTGAAATAAATAATTGATACATGTATCATTTGAATTTATTTCTTGAAATTATTCTGATAAAAATTGGGTTTTTAGTAACATACATTTATGAAGGATGCAAGTAACTCTGTGAAAAGATTTACATCTCTCAACCATAATAGCAGCAACAAACAATAGTAATGATAATAATAATTGAGAACTTATACAATCATGTACTCACTACAACAGATAGCATCATCAACATCAACAACTGCATCCTTGGGATTTTAAACTGTTTCAGTTTGTGAGCCATTTACATATTCCGCATTTAAAGGCTACCCTTTGAGTTAAATTGCATAGCTGGAAACCATATTTGGAGTTGGCCTAAAAAAAACAAAAAACCAGAAGGATCCCACCCACCTAGCCTGGATCCCACCCACCTAGCCTGGATCCCACCCACCTAGCCTGGATCCCACCCACCTAGCCTGGGCCGTATTTCTACAGTGCATGATCTACATTCTTTTAAGGTGTGCCATCTGTCGTTAGCTAAATAAACTGAAAAATTCTTTTCAGATTGTTTAGTTGAATTTAATAATGTATTGATTCTTCTAAATGAACTATTGAAGGTTTTAATTGAATTTTTGAGGGTTTTTTCGATTTTTGACGGACAGTGTATCTATTGTACTCTGATCAGAGGTGGTGCCGGATTTGCCTGAGGGAGGGTGGGGGAGTCAGAAGTCCCCACTAGGTGGAGGGGGAGATGTCCCTGACAAGAGTAAAGTGGCTGTGGCTAGGCATCGCTGAATCCCTCGAAAGTGGTAAAGTGTGTGAAACCCCAAAAAATATGACAATTTAGGCATTTTAAAGACATATTAAATCAAATTCAGGTCTCATATTTAGAAAATACATATAAATATTGCAGATATTTTTACAAGCTATTTTTCATGTCCCTAATTTTGGTTTAGACTCTGATATTTGAGACAGGCAACTACATTGATATTATCATTGCCATAATAATAATAATAATATCATCATCAAATACATTAAAATATATCACATTTTTTCCCATTTATGAAATTATTTTAAAGTAGAAATACAATTTTATGAATCTAAAATTTATTTTGTAGAAAAATCTTTTATGAAAGTGGTTGTGAAAAAACTGGTAAAAAGCAATCAGGAAATCTTGTGTATACCTCTTGGAAAGTGCTTTAATCACCTGTAAATGTATAGTGTTTTAAAAGTAATTTTGAGCTATTGAAAATGTGACTAATAATTTTATTGAACATGTTACTATATTTTCATCTCCTATCTACCTTCATAATTTGTACAAAATTAATAGAAAACTCTTTCTGAGTGTTAGTGTGTAGTTGAAGTCATTAATTATTTAAAATCTACAAATTAACATAATTGAGGCCAGATGAATCTTGCCAAATGTATCTTGAATGCGCAATGCAGAATTGTCACATCTGTTTCTGTAGATACTAAAGGTTAGAGGAAGTATATTTCTAGTAAGCATATCTTTTCATTATATATTGATAATAATTATTTTAACAAGTGCACAATTGGGCATCCAATGTGACATATCAATAATAATAATATCCCTCTAAATAATGGCTCGTCCAATTTAAGACCACTTTTTCGCAACTATGGAAGAAGACCTATATTTAAACTTTATGATAATCCCTGGTCCCAAAAGTGGTCTTTCATTGGAGGAAGACCTGTAATAACACTTATAAATTCTCTTATTTGTTATTTTAGGTCTATAATGGTTTTATATCAATTCAAAGTAATTGTTTTTACTGCCTGTTTGTTTAAGAAAAATATACTGTAGAAACAAAAAATACCTCTTTTAATCAAAGTTTATATCAGACTTTTAAACATCTTAACATTAGTTAAGAAGCGTATTTTGCTAAAGTTAAGGCCATAAAGTTAACCATTTTAAATGATTTTCTGGTTCCTTTTCAGACAAAATCATACAATTTTCTCCAGATTAACTATTTAGGCATGTCCAACATGTTGATGTGTTAATGAAGATTTATTTTTGTAAAGTCAAATCTGGTTTCTATGGTAATCTATCATATATTAAATATTGTACTCTAATAGGAAATTAATGACTCTTGTCGTTTTTGGTTTATGTGTAATCATTCTGGTGTATATTTGCTTGTTCATATGTACATACATTATAGGTAAATTACATTAGTTGAATCACAATTTAGAGGTGTTGGGGTGGGGGGAGACAGTTTATAGTCAGATGTGTTGTTAAGTGTTATTGAGCTGTTTATGTTAATATGGCGAAAGACCTGGCAGCGAGTTTTATTACATGTGGTGTTTCCGTTATGAGTGCTGGGTGTACGAGGTTTAGATGGTGCAAGAATGGATTTAAGGTTAGGTGGCTGTCTAACCTCTAAATTGTGATTCTACTAATGTAATTTACCTTATATCATGCACTCTTTGCAACAAAGGCCATTACATTGGGGAAACGGGTAATAAATTCTGCCTACAATTTAATAACCATAAACATTCCATCCGCAATAACACCCCTGGTTTCCCAGAAGGGGAAAATTTTAACTCCACCCACCACAATATTCACCATCTCAAAGTCACTCTCATAGCCAGGAACTTCCGCTCTACTGAACACGGACAATGAGAAGAACTGAAATGGATTTTAAAACTCAAAACACACACTCACGGTCTCAATAAGGACTTGGGATTCATCAGTGAATTTTCCTTCTTAGTTTTCAGGTCACTTTTAATTATAATTTTATTACTATTTATTCTGGTTTTATTATTATTATTATTATTATTATTATTATTATTATTATTATTATTATTATTATTAATATTATTATTATTATTATTAGGCCTGATCATTATATATTATTGTTGGTTATTGTCACTCTAGCTTTTACTATTGACGGTAGCGCTTATCTTTATCATTTTTTTCAAGATGCTCTATATCTATATAAATTATAATGATATATATATATATATATATATATACTGTATATATACAGTGTATATATACTGTCTCTTATACACATCTATCTTTTATGAAAGTGGTTGTGAAAAAACTGGTAAAAAGCAATCAGGAAATCTTGTGTATACCTCTTGGAAAGTGCTTTAATCACCTGTAAATGTATAGTGTTTTAAAAGTAATTTTGAGCTATTGAAAATGTGACTAATAATTTTATTGAACATGTTACTATATTTTCATCTCCTATCTACCTTCATAATTTGTACAAAATTAATAGAAAACTCTTTCTGAGTGTTAGTGTGTAGTTGAAGTCATTAATTATTTAAAATCTACAAATTAACATAATTGAGGCCAGATGAATCTTGCCAAATGACAAAGTGTTAAAGATCCTACACTTTCATAAGTGTTGAATATGTAACACTTTTTTGAGAGTTGAAACAACACTTACGGTGTTGTCCCTGTAGAGACACTTGCTAAGTGTTATATATAACACCTAAAGCATTATTTTTAACACTTTATTTTTAAGAGTGTAAAATGTGCATAAAATTGAAACTAAATAAGCTACAGATATGATTTTGGTGTCTAAAAACTACTGTCACTCAAGCCAGAATGGAACATAATTAAAAAATAGGTGTAATTTGTTTAAAAATAATCGCAAAATATACTTACTTAAAATGTACATAAAATAAGAACGAGTATATAAGCTAGTTTTCTATGTAATCCAGATAGATTTTTGAGCAAAAATAGATTTTATTGACTAATTTTATCATTTTTACTGCGCTGAATTCAAAAAATTTAGGTGCCATTGTTTTCCCAAAGTCATCGGCTGCCATTTCGAATTTGAAGATGGCTGACGCACCACATAAAACATGGTCATGATTGGTGTCAATGGAAAGCAGTGGCGGATCCAGTGAGGGGGGGGGGGGTTCAAGGGGTACGGAAAGAAACGTAACAAAATACTATTGGGTCCTGGCTTACAAAATGCATTACCAACCGTTTCTCGCGCATCTGTATTAGTTTCAACAAAGAAGTTTCTGTAATATGGGAGAAATATTTTTTTTTTTTTTTTTTTCAAAATGTCTATCTACTTTTAAATTTTGATTTTTAATTGTGTATAGAAGATGAATGTGCATGTTTTTTTTGTACGAAAGCTTGTCTTTGAGTCGGGTTAACTCACTGAAATCTAAGAAAAAAATAATCTGCTATAAAAAAACTCCAAATATTAAGTTAGTTCTGGCTATATCTGCAAAAGCCTGGGAAGATTTTTAAATTTAGTAGACTCAAAATCGAGGTGGTTTGAGGCTTTACTTTACAGAATATAGCACTATTACGGTAGCTACTTGAAACATGCTAATTTTCCCCACTGATTTTTTTTCTACCTGGAGAGTTATTCCCGGCCCAGGCTATTTCCCCCCCCCCCATTTTTTCGATGTATTGTTCCTCCTAGTTTTCCTATTGATGTTTTTCCATCAGGTTATTTTTATTATACTTTATAAGAGAAAACATATTATTTTATTTTTATTTTTTTTTTCTTTTCGCTATATCAATTAATTATTGTCTAGTCATTGTAAGGTTACACTAAAAAGGTGTGCCGATGATACAAAAGCGTTATTCAATCAATTGACTGATTGACCATTGATGCATTCGCAATACCGTATTTATGAAGTCTAAATACACATTGTAGAAACGTTTTGAAAGTTTAAATCCGGTTTTACATAAGAAATACAAGAAAGAAAACAGAATATCTTTATAACATGTTTCCTCTTTTGGAATTTCGATATCACACCTTTTTCTATGTCGTTCTACAGTATATACCCATATTTCATCCACAAAAAACATTCTATTATTTCTGTACTTCTACAGTACTTCGGAGGTCAATGCCCATTAGTGATTCTCTTCTACGATACGCCTACTACTGAAAGGTCCACTGATTAATCTCAGATAAGAAAGTATACATATTACATTGAAATACACGCCATCGTGTTGGGATTCAATATTTCGACATTAATTATGTCATCATACGCCTACTTTTATTTCAAATTGTGTGTTACGGTTGATGGTAGCAAATACGCCTATATCATTAAATATATTTCATTTAATTAATGTTATTTAATTTATCAGAAAATTAGGTTAATTTATGTTTTATAAAGTATGCGTATTATATATATATAAATAGGCTTAGCCCAACTAGCATTCAATTAAATACATTAGAACACTGTTTTGGCTCGACGTCGTAATAATTATGTACGAAAGTGTATTCTTCAGGCCTATCAGTTCATCGATCTATGGAAGAAAGAATCCAACTACTCAATAATGTTGGAATATAGAATACATGCCAAGTTGAAGATAGCTAGAGGCTTGAGATTTAACAGGAAATAACCCAATTGACGTGAGTCGAGGGCCCGGCCAAAGGCCCCGAAACATTTTGGGCTTAGATGCTCTCTGGGTACTCTGAATATCACTAGTGCTGAAATTAAACCTTAAAAATGAGTAGCTATAACAGGAACGATAGAATTTTCGATGATCTGGACCTGATAAAATATAGAATTGCGAAGGTTTATATTATTCGATAAAAAGTTTGGGTTTAATCAAATAAAGCTTGAGATTATTGGAAAAGCGTAAGATTCTAGAGAAGTGGCTTGAGATTGAGGTTTGTTCGAAAAACGTGAGATTCACGCCGGATGCGTGAGACTTGGTATGATATAGGCCTAATAATATATTGACTATATTTTTTATTTATTTAAGAGGGGTAAAACCTTGAATTTTGAAGAGATTAAAGGTCATTAAAAGACACGTAAGAAGTCGGGAAATCTCATATTTCCGGCCATCTAGGAATCAAAATTTTCCCATGGGTGGACCCCGGACCCCCTTTCACTTTTGGGTTTATGGGAAAATGAACCCCCCTATTTCACATCCTGGATCCGCCCCTGGCCTTATACACTGATCATTTATTGTCATTACACCTAAACAACATAATACATATTTACAGCGATATAGACCAATATATAAAGTCACATGACACAAAATGCCAAAAAATCAAACTTACAAAAAGTTGTGTTTAGTATCATTTGAAAGCTCTGCCAATGATGAGTTAAGTTTTCCGGTATATACATATCAAAAACTGTGTAGTTTTTCATATATTGTCCTATAAATCTAATTATCAAATAGAACAAAATCCCACAAACACACTCTTTGGCTGATTTATTAGAAGGGGTCAGTCCAACTACGACCCATCATTTTACTATGAAGGTTTGACCAGATATGTACACCTTTGTGCTTTAGTTCTTTATTCCTCCGAGTCCAAATGAACCCAGGATAGGCCAGGGGCCCTACTCTTACTTCATGG